TTGGCGGGTCCGGGCTGGGGATTCGTACCCGCCACCTTAGGTGTACGTGGCTGGCGCCTTAGCCGGTTGAGCTATAGGTGCCGAGCCCACATCAATCTTTTTAATGAACAAACTGAAAAATCATTTCTTTCAACATTTTAACAAGAATATGGTATCTGAAGTTCAATAAGGGATGACTGTTGGTAGAAGGCATTTCTATATTCATTACACCCATAGTCTTTAATATGAGCTTTCAAGGGTTAAGATTACTAATGATAATAGTAAGAGAAAATTTAGTGGCTTAAAATAACCATTTTATCATAGCTCATTTTGTGGGTCAGGAATCTGGGCAGGGGCTTAGCAGGTCAATTCTTCTGTTCTATATAGCATCAGCTGAGATCACTCAGGGTCATTCAGCTGATGGCTGGTTTGAGGCATCCAAAACTATTTCACTTAAATGTCTGGTGCCTTGGTGGATATGTGGAAGACTGAGTTCAGCAGGGTACCTCTTTTTCCCTATATAGTCTCAAACCTCTCCATTCGATTTTTCTACCAAAGTAGCGAGACTTTTTAACATGACAGTTCAGGGCTTGAGAGAATATTTCAGGAGATAAGTAAAACTACTAGCAAAGCTTGAGTCCAGAAACCACCACAGCAGTCATTCTAATGTATTCTACTGGGCAAAGCAGTCACAGAGCCTGTCCATATTGAAGGGAGGGGATGTAAATTCCACCGCCTGATGGCAAGAGTGTCAAAGAACTTGCAGCCATCTTTACTACACTCTTACGTTTCTACTTTACAAATGAAGAAATTATAGCATGGAGCAGTGAAGCATCTTGTTCAGTATGACACAGTAGGTGATGGGATAAAGATGGTAAGTGTCTTTCCCATGTTTTTTATTAACATAATTAGTTTTTAGAAGAAATGTGCTCATTTTTTCTTTCAGTTTCAGGTTTGAGTGATGATGGCATACATTACATTAATACATTCCTTTAATGGTATAAAACTTATGCCAAGTCAGTTGCAGGTATGGAACAAAACAGATGAATATTACATTCACAGAATGTTCTGTAACACAGGAATAAAAATAATTATATTTTTACACTATGGGAATAAAAATAATTATATTTTTACACTATGGATTTTCAGATGATGAGTAAGGTGTGAATGTTGTCTAAAGGCCTTCTTACATTCCTTACATTCATAGGGTTTCTCACCAGAATGAATTCTCAGATGTTGAATAAGGGATGAATTAAGTCTAAAGGCCTTCCTACACTCCTTACATTCAAACGGTTTTTCACCAGTATGAATGCTCTGATGCAGTGTAAGTTTTTGGCGCAACCTAAAGGCCTTCCCACATTCTTTACATTTATAGGGTTTCTCACCAACGTGAATACTTTGATGTTGTGTAAGTTGTGAAAGTAGTCTAAAGGCCTTCCCACATTCCTTACAGTCATAAGGTTTAACACCAATATGAATGCTCTGGTGTGAAATAAGTTGTGAGTAACGACTAAAGGCCTTCCAGCATTCCTTACATTCATAAGGTTTCTCACCAGTATGAATTCTGTGATGGAGAATCAGATGATAACCACGACTAAAGGTCTTTCCACATTCCTTACACTCATAGGGTTTCTCACCAGTATGAATTCTCTGATGGAGTGTTAGTTGCTGTCGTACCCTAAAGGCCTTTCCACATTCCTTACATTCGTAGGGTTTCTCACCAGTATGAAGTTTGTGATGTACTCTAAGGCCAGAGCCACACAAAAAAGCCTTTCCACATTCTTTACATTCATAGAGTTTGTCAGCAATATTAAGTTTCTGATGTCGAGTAAGGTGTGCATACTGTCTAAAGGCCTTCCCACATTCTTTACATACATAGGGTTTCTCACCAGTATGAATCCTCTGATGGAGAGTAAGTTGTCCTCGTACTCTAAAGGCCTTCCCACATTCTTTACACTCATAGGGCTTCTCACCAATATGAATTTTCTGGTGCACTCTAAGGTCCGGGCCACATATGAAAGCTTCTCCACATTCCTTACATTCATAGAGTTTTTCACCAGAATGAAGTCTCTGATGTCGAGTAAGGTGTGCAGTCTGTCTAAAAGTCATCCCACATTCCTTACATTCATAAGGTTTTTCACCAGTATGAATTCTGTGATGAAAAGTAAGTTGCTGGCGCACTCTAAAAGCCTTCCCACATTCCTTACATTCATAGGGTTTATCAACAAAATGAATTCTCTGATGTGAAGTAACAGATGCACGTTTCTGGTAGGAGAACACTTTTTCAGATGAGATTTTTACTTGATTGAAATAGTCCTCTTGAGATCCCTCTTGTTCTTCAAATTTTCTTTTGGACTCCCAATCATTTTTTAAAATGAGACCCTTAAGTCTGTGATTTTCAATTCTTTCCATTATCTTCCACTGGGATAAATTTATTTCACAAATTTCATTTTCTGAAGATAATTTCTTAGTTTCATACCTGGTCTCTAAATCTAAAAAAAAGAAAATAAGAAAGCAAGCACATGCTATTTTCTTTTTGTAAAATAAGTAAAATTTCTATAGCAGAAATAAAAGACAATATTGAGTAATAGTCAGTTATACTCTAAAATATCTAATTTAGGGGGAGGAGCAAAAAGCATCAGGAAAAATGAAAGTTCATATAAAAAGATGAGATTGGTGACTAAGTAAACATTTTAAGTTAGTGGTTCTCAAATTGAAGTATAGACAGAATCACCTGGGAGCTTGTTATAAATATTGAGGGTTAGACCGGGTATGGTGGCTCACAGCTGTAATCCTAGCACTCTGAGAGGCTGAGGCGGGTAGATCACTTGAGTTTAGGAGTTCAAGACCAGCCTGAGTAAGAGCGAGACGCTGTCTCTACTAAAATAGAGAAACTAGGCTCGGTGCCTATAGCTCAGTGGTTAGGGTGCCAGCCACATAAATACTGGGGCTGGTGGGTTTGAACCCGGCCCAGGCCTGCTAAACAACAATGACAAGAACAACAACAAAAATATTGTGCATTGTGGCAGGCGCCTGTAGTCCCAGCTACTTGGGAAGCTGAAGCAAGAGAATTGCTTGAGCCCAAGAATTTGAGGTTGCTGTGAGCAACCTCAACAGCACTCTACTGAGGGCAACATGGTGAGACTCTGTCTCAAAAAAAAATAAAAAAATAAAAAATAACATAAAATAGAAAAACTAGACAAGTGGCTCAGCACCTGTAGTTCAGCGGCCAGAGCACCAGCCACATACACTGGAGCTGGTGGGTTCAAATCCAACCCAGGCCTGCCAAACAATAATGACAACTACAACCAAAATACAACCGGGCATTGTGGTGGGCACTTGTGGTCCCAGCTACTTAGGAGGCTGAGGCAAGAGAATCGCTGAGGCCCAAGAGTTTAAGGTTGTGAGCTGTGATGTCACAGCATTCTAATGAGGGTGACATAGTAAAACTCTTTCTCAAAAAAATAACAAAAAACTAGCCAGGTGTTGTGGTGGGGCACCTATAGTCCCAGCTACTCATAAAGCTTAGGCAAGTGGATCTCTTGAGCCCGAGAGTTTGAGGTTGCTTTTAGCTATGATGCTACCAGGGGACTCTACCCAGGTGACAGAGTGAGAATCTGTCTCAAAAAAACCAGAAATTCCCAAAAGCAAATATTGAAGTGTAGATACCACCCAGACTACCTAGATCAGATTCGAGGAAATCCAGTGAGAATATTTAATATTCTCCACACAATAATTCTGGTGGGGATAAAAGGTTGAGAATCCATATCATGGGCGGCACTTGTGGCTCAGTGGGTACGGTGCTGGCGCCATATACCCAGGGTGGCGGTTCAAACCTGGCCCCGGCCAAACTGCAACCAAAAACAGCTGGGTGTTGTGGCGGGCGCCTATACTCCCAGCTACTCGAGAGGCTAAGGCAAGAGAATCACCTAAGCCCAGAGTTGGGGGTTGCTGTGAGCTGTGTGACACCATGGCACTCTACTGAGGGCCCTGAAGTGAGACTCTGTCTCTAAAAAAAAAAAAAGAAGACTTTACAGAGAATCCATATCATAAATTTTTTTTTTTTTTTTGAGACAGAGTCTCACTTTATGGCCCTCAGTATAGTGCTGTGGCATCACATCTCACAGCAACTTCCAACTCCTATGCTTAGACAATTCTCTTCCCTCAGCCTCCTGAGTAGCTGGGACTACATGTGCCCACCAGAATGCCTGGCTATTTTTTTGTTGCAGTTTGGCCGGGGCCGAGTTTGAACCTACCACCCTTGGTATATAGGGCCAGAGCCCTACCCACTAAGCCACAGGCGCTGCCTCATATTATAATTTTTTTTCTTTCTTTCTTTTTCAGAAACCTAGACTGGAGTACAGTGGTATCATCATAGCTCAGTGTAGCTTCAAAAATGATTGGCTCAAGTGGTGATCCTCCCCCTTCAACCTCCAGAGGGGCTAGGACTACAGGTATGTGTCACTACTAGCTAATTTTTTTCCAATGTTTTGGAGATAGGGTCTCACTATGTTGCCCAGGCTGGTCTCAAACTCCTGGCCTCAAGTGATCCTCTTATTTCAATTATACCCTCTCTATACTGAATCAGTTTCCTCCACCTACAAATTCCCACAAGCACACAATTATGTTCTAATATCTCATATCATAAAATACACAGCTTATAACCCTTATCCCCAATGTAACTACCAACCCTATTTCCCAGCTTTCCTTCATATGTAATCCCTTCAAAGTGTTACACTCACTCTCACGACTCACTGCCTGACTCTTCTCTCTTTAGGTCATTGCAATTGGGTTTTCAACCTGACTCCACTAAAATCATTCTTTTTTTTAGAGACAGTCTCACTTTATCGCCCTCCTTTGAATGCTGTGGCATTACAGCTCACAGCAACCTCAAACTCTTGGCTCAAACTCTTGGCCTTAGCCTTCTAAGTAGCTGGGACTACAGGTGCCCACCACAACACCTGGCTATTTTTTGTTGTAGTTGTCATTGTTGTTTAGCTGGCCTCGGCCGGGTTCAAACCTACCAGCCTCAGTGTATGTGGCTAGCGCCGTAACTACTGTGCTACGGATGCCAAGCCCATACATTATTATAATATCAAGCATACCTTTTATTATAGTCTTTTATATCCCATTTAAAATTTTATGAGTTTAAAAAAAGCTTCCTCGATCATAACTAAAAGTCTTTCCATCCCACACCATTCTCTATCCCCTTTACTTACTTTTCTTCATAGCACTCTTCATTACTTGACATTTTATTTTCTACTTATTTATAGTTACTCTGTTTCTCTTATTCCAAGGCCAATTCCATGGGGATAGAGACTTTATTGGTTGTTTATCACTGTATTGATAATGCCTATGATAGTGCCAGCTTAGCAGTTATCTAATCTATACATACAAAAGAGGAAAGAAGCAATTCAAAGAAGCAAGTCAAATATAGACTGGTTATCAATAGCAAACAAAAAGCGCACCTCCAGGGGAGGAAAATTTGACAGAACCACAACAACAAAAAAGAGGTATGGTAAATGAGATAAAGAAGTAATTCTACTGGGCCCAGTGGCGCGCCTGTAATCCTAGCACTCTGAGAGGCTGAGGCAGGGTGGATTCCTTGAATTCAGGATTTCAAGACCAGCTTGAGCAAGAGTGGACCCCCATCTCTAAAATCCAGCCAGCTGTTGTGGTCGGTGCCTGTAGTCCTGGCTTCTTGGGAGGCTAAAGCATGAGGACTGCATGAGCCTAAGAATTTGAGGTTTGCTGTCAGCTATATGATGCCATAGCACTCTACCCAGGGCAATGGAGTAAGACTGTCTTAAATAAAGTGGTTCTTTTAGTATCCCAGTGGAGATTTTAATTTGCACCCCAGGTCTCAGACCCTTTTTCCTTGCACCCTGGACCTTTAAAGAAGACTTCTTAAACATCACAGTGAAGTGCTGCTTCTCCAGTGAGTTGGGGTTTCCTGTGGTGATGATTTCCCCCTCACTTACCTGGATAACCTCGTCTGCCTTTCCTTATAACTTTCCAGGGTTCTTTTCCTTGCTCCAATAAGGAAATCACATCTGGTTTAGCAATGAAGCATCCTGTTAGCAGAAAAGGAATATACGGTGATACGGAAAGAAAAAATAAATTCAAAATTATTTAGGTTCAGTCTTGGTTAAATTTGTAAAACATTATAGGTTAAAACAGTAATTGATAAAGCCAGAAAAACAAAGAAGGGAGAGATGGTTTAAAAACATTTATATTAAGGTAAAACAATAGAGGCTAGGCATAGTGGCTCAGGCCTATAATCCTAGCTCTCTGGGAGGTAGAGGCAGGTGGATTGCTTGAGCTCACAACTTGGAGACCACCCTGAGCAAAAGTGATACCCCATCTCTACTAAAAATAGAAAATCTGAGGCAAAAGGATTGCTTGAGCCCAAGAGTTTGAACTTGCTGTGAGATATGATGCCTCTGCATTCTACCCAGAGCAACAGCTTGAGATTGTCTCAAAAAAACAGAAGAAAACAAGAAAAAAAACCAGTGACTAATTCTCACATAAATTGGATTCAATTTTGACTAAAGTACATTACTTAAACATTAATTTTTACTTTAACTTGTTAATATGTTGTTTAGGATACAGGATACTGCATCCTCATTTAAAAGTGAATTATGTCTGTAATTTCCCCTTTATAATAATATATTTTTTCCAATTTTAATATCAAGTGTATCTAGATCAAGCAGAATGATTTTGAAGTATTTCTTCTTTTTCTGTTGTCCATAAGATTTGGCATGATCTTTCTTTTGAAATTATCTTGGCTCGGCGCCTGTGGCTCAAGCGGCTAAGGCGACAGCCACATACACCTGAGCTGGCGGGTTCAAATCCATCCTGGGCCCGCCAAACAACAATGATGGCTGCAACCAAAAAATAGCC